AGTAGAAGATTCCCTTATTAGCTGAGGGCAGGATAGGCTTCCCTGAAGAGATTGGGTTTCAGAGATCGCCTAAAAGAGAGCAGAATAGGCGATATTCTGATTAAATTGGGGTATAGAGTTCCAGAGGATGGGGAAGCTCTGGAGAAGTCCTGGAGACGAGCATGGGAGGAAGGTAGACAAGGAAGCTAGAGAGCAGGAGGTCATGGGAGGAGCGTAGAGTATGGTTTGGGTGATATATGGAGACAAGATCATTGATGTAATTTGGGGCAGAGTTATAAATGGCTTTATATGTTATTGTTAATGTTTTGTAAATTTATATCCGTTGGGCAATGGGAAAGCCATTGGAGGGATTGGCAGAGAGAGGGGTGGAGGTCAGTGGAGGGATTTAGCAGAGAGGGGTGGAGGACACTGAGTGGAGGCCATTGGAGGGGTTTGCAGAATGGTCTGGGATGAGGACACTGAGTAGACAGCCAGTGGAGGGATTGGCAGAGAGGTTGGTGGAGGACACTGAGTGCAGAGGTCAGTGAGAGGATTGGCAGAGAAGGGGTGGAGGACCACTGAGTAGAGGCAGAATGGAGGGATTGGCAGAGAGGGGTGGAGGACACTGAGTGGAGGCCAGTGGAGGGATTGGCAAAGAGGGGTGGAGGACACTGAGTGGAGGCCAGTGGAGGGATGGAGGACACTGAGTGGAGGCCCAGTGGAAGGATTGGCAGGGAGGGGTGGCAGATACAGAACAGTTAGTAAAGGTGGATGAGTCTGGCAGCAGCATTTGTGGGAAGACTGAAGAGGGGGATAGCCTGCGATGAGGTCGGCAATTGAGGAGGGAGTTACAATAGTCAAGGCGAGATATAAGGGAGTGAATAAGTTGCTTAGTGTTTCCGAGGTTAGGAACGGTCGTATCTTGGAGATGTTGCGGAGGTGAAGTCTACAAGATTTGGACAGTGAATGGATCTGGGGGGCTGAAAGGACAGATGGGAGTTCTAGGATTACACCTAGTAACCCGCTGGCATGAGGGGAGGGACTGATGATTTATTGATCTTGATTGGAGAAGACAGGGGAGAGGGGGCACGGAATGGGGGGATACTAAGAGCTCAGTTTTGGAAAGTTTGTGAGTTTGAGGAAGTGGAGTGACATCCATGCCCGATATGTCACTTAGTAGCTTAAGTAATGCGAGAGGAGACTGTAGGGGTGAGGTGAGGGGTAGAAAGATAGATTTGTGTGTCATCAGCATAGAGATGGTACTTAAAGCCATGGGAGTTTATCAAGTGGACCAAGGTCAATACAAAGAGGGAGGTGTAGATGGAGAAGAGAAGGGGTCCAAGGACAGAACCTGAGGGACCCCAACAGAAAGAGGGGAGTGAAGAGGAGGAGGGCAGCATTAATAGGTAATGCTGAATGAGCGCTGTGATAGGCAGGAGGAGAACCAGGAGGAGAGAGCGAAGTCTTGGAGGCCAAGAGAGTGGAGTTTTTTTGAGGAGGATGGGGACTTTCCTCTGGTCATACCCTGCACCAGGAATCCTTAATGTTGGTTGGTAATGGGGCACACTAAGTGGAGAATGTGACATCACTGCTAGACGTAGTTACTGTTGCATTAGAGGAGATAAGCTGCAATATGTTGCATTTTTGGGTTTAATAGCCTTTTTTCACCCTTCCTATGTATGGAAATCTACTTCATCACATGATAGTACAGAGAATACATGATGTGGCGCTGCTACAACAACTAATACTACCGAAAAGTTGGAAGATTACCGCATAATAAAATAGAATAGAATATAAAATAATTACCGTATTTGCCGGCGTATAAGACGACTTTTTACCCTTTGAAAATCTCTCTCAAAAGTCGGGGGTCGTCTTATATGCCGGTATACGGCATACTGACACTTTTTAGGGGGGCGGCGCAGTGCCGCCGCCGCCACCCCCCTTCCAAATGGAAGGGACACTAAGTATAGGGGTGGTCAGGGGGCTGTTTCTCTTACCTGCTCCGGTTCCCACGACGATCCGGTCCAGGAAGCGCTGCTGCTCCTTAAGTTCGGCCACTGGAAAGTGTTCGCGCGGCTGCTCGGCTCCGCCTCCTCACCGGTGATTGGCTGCCAGAACTGTAGCTCAGGAAAGGCACACAGGCAGCCAATCACCGGCGAGGGGGCGGAGCCGAGCGGCCCCACGAAAATCGAGTGCAGGAGCAGCAGGTAAGTGTTCAGTGTACAGGTGCTGCTGCTGCAACCACATATGCTGGCTGCAGCAGCACCCATACGAGAGAACAGGGTCAGCAAGTGTAATTGGTGTCAGTGGGAGGAATAGTGCCCATCATTGGTGTCACTGATACCAATGATGGGGCACTATTCCTCCCACTGACACCAATGATGGGGCACTATTCTTCCCACTGACACCAACGATGGGGACACTATTCCTCCCCCCCCACTGACACCAATGATGGGGCACTATTTCACCCCCCACTGACACCAACGATGGGGCACTATCCCCCCCCCCACTGACACCAATGATAGGGCACTATTCCACCCCCCACACTGACACCAATGATGGGGCACTATTCCACCCCCCACTGACACCAATGATGGGACACCATTCCTCCCACTGACACCAATGTTGGGACACTATTCCTCCCACTGACACCAATGATGGGGCACAATATTCCCCCCACTGATACTAATGATGGGGCACTATTCCTGCCACTGATACTAATGATGGGGAACTATTCCTCCCACTGACACCAATGATGGGGCACTATTCCTCCCACTGACACCAATGATGGGGCACTATTCCTCCCACTGACACCAATGATGGGGCACTATTCCTCCCACTGATACCAATGATGGGGCACTATTCCTCCCACGGATACCAATGATGGGGCACTATTCCTCCCACGGATACCAATGATGGAGCACTATTCCTGCCACTGATACCAATGATGGGGCACTATTCCTCCCACGGATACCAATGATGGGGCACTATTCCCCCCACTGATACTAATGATGGGGCACTATTCCTCCACTGATACCAATGATGGGGCACTATTCCTCCCACTGATACCAATGATGGGGCACATATTCCTGCCGACTAATACCAATGATGGGGGCACTATTCCTCCCATGTACCAATGATGGGACACTATTCCTCCCACTGATACCAATGATGGGGCACTATTCCTCCCACTAATACCAATGATGGGGCACTATTCCTCCCACGGATACCAATGATGGGGCACTATTCCTCCCACGGATACCATGATGGGGCACTATTCCTCCCACTGATACCAATGATGGGACACTATTCCTCCCACTGATACCAATGATGGGGCACTATTCCTCCCACTAATACCAATGATGGGGCACTATTCCTCCCACGGATACCAATGATGTGGCACTATTCCTCCCACGGATACCAATGATGGGGCACTATTCCTCCACTGACACCAATGATGGGGCACTATTCCTCCCACTGGTGTGCATTGGAAGAGGGGTATCTTATACGGCGAGTGTATAGCCCAAACACTACATTTTAGCACTGGAAAAGTAAGGGGTCATCTTATACGCTGGCAAATACGGTATATATAAGTGAATAAATATAAATATGAACCTCCCAAGTGATACAAGGTGAAATATAACACAAGTAAAAAGGTGGTAAATGATTCCACACAAATGTGTGCACACATAAACAGTGATACAAACCAGGACTAATTAGTCCTTTTATTGGACATTTCTGGTCTGTATCACTTGGGAGGTTCATATTTATATTTATTCACTTATATATAATTATTTATATTCTATTCTATTTTTATGCGGTATCTTCCACTTTTCGGTAGTATTAGTTGTAGCAGCGCCACATCATTTATTCTCTGTATTTTCATTTAATCATTAGGTATATTTGACTGGATGTTGGCAGCTATATTAGTTTTGTAGGGATTAGGGTTGAAGCGCAGGAGAGGTCTTTTTCACAATTTTTCATCATGGTAGTGCTGGACTTCAATTCAGACTTTAGAACAGAGGTCTCTCCAAACTGCGACCCGGGGGGCAGATGCAGCCCTTTGCTTGCTTTTATCAGGCACTTGGGGCATTATTCCCCCCACCATCAGCAACAGTGGGGAATAGTTCCCGCCACTGACACCAATGATGGGGCACTATTCCTCCCACTGACACCAATGATGGGGCACTATTCCTCCCACTGACACCAACGATGGGGCACTATTCCTTCCACTGACAGCAACAATGGGACACTATTCCTCCCATTGATACCAATGATGGAGCACTATTCCTCCTACTGACACCAATGATGGGGCACTATTCCTTCCACTGACACCAATGATGGGGCACTATTCCTCCCACTGATACCAATGATGGAGCACTATTCCTCCTACTGACACCAATGATGGGGCACTATTCCTTCCACTGACACCAATGATGGGGCACTATTCCTCCCACTGATACCAATGATGGGGCACTATTCCTCCCACTGACACCAATGATGGGGCACTATTCCTCCCACTGACACCAATGATGGGGCACTATTCCTCCCACTGACACCAATGATGGGGCACTATTCCTCCCACTGACACCAATGATGGGACACTATTCCTTCTACTGACACTCATGATGGGGCACTATTTCTCCCACTGACACCATGATGGGGCACTATTTCTCCCACTGACACCAATGATGGGGCACTATTCTCTCCTACTGATACCAATGATGGGACACTATTCCTTCTACTGACACAATGATGGGGCACTATTCCTCCTACTGATACCAATGATGGGGCACTATTCCTCCCACTGATACCAATGATGGGGCACTATTCCTCCCACTGACACCAATGATGGGGCACTATTCCTCCCACTGACACCAATGATGGGGCACTATTCCTCCCCGACTGATACCAATGATGGGGCACTATTCCTCCGACTGATACCAATGATGGGGCACTATTCCTCCCACTGACACCAATGATGAGGCATTATTCCTCCGACTGATACCAATGATGGGGCACTATTCCTCCCCACTGACACCAATGATGGGGCACTATTCCTCCCACTGATACCAATGATGGGGCACTATTCCTCCCACTGACACCAATGATGGGACACTATTCCTTCTACTGACACTCATGATGGGCACTATTTCTCCCACTGACACCATGATGGGGCACTATTCCTCCCACTGACACCAATGATGGGACACTATTCCTTCTACTGACACTAATGATGGGCACTATTTCTCCTCCAAACTGACACCATGATGGGGCACTATTTCTCCCACTGACACCAATGATGGGGCACTATTCCTCCTACTGATACCAATGATGGGACACTATTCCTTCTACTGACACAATGATGGGGCACTATTCCTCCCACTGATATCAATGATGGGGCACTATTCCTCCCACTGATACCAATGATGGGGGCACTATTCCTCCCACTGATATCAATGATGGGGCATTGTTTACTCCCACTGATACCAGGACATTTTCTGCTCCCCACTGGCCACAGTCCGACCCCCCTAAAGGACAGTAAACCGACCCTTCGTTTATAATGTGTGGACCCCCCCCCCCCCCCCCCCCCCGCCGCTTTAGAAAATCCGATCTCTATTGTCTCCCAGTTCTTCTTTGTCTCCGTAGACCCCCTGATTCCTCGTCCATTGACAGGAGAGTATTGTGTCTCCAGAGTCCCGAGCTTTCCCAGTAATGATATTAGCACGCTCGGTTATCCATTTGTACCGCGAATCATTGACCCGGCGCTCAGACAAGAGCCACGATTGCATTTCGGCGCGGCACAGTGATGGATTTCATGTCAGAGCACAATCCGCTCGGCTGATCTGATCTCCAATGGTTTCTGCAGTCTCCTCCCACCCTACTGTTCACTTCCTAAGGGAACCTAATTGAATACTGCAGAGCAAAAAAAAAAAAAAAAAGATTCCGTGTGCATTGTATCCACCAGGATCGGCTCCCCCCTTCCCCTCCATGTGGAAGTAAAAATTCGACGTCATCTCGTATGTGTGTGTTAGCCCAATCCTATCCCTTTGCTGCAACGCGGCGTTTGGCGTATTTTCCGTCTCTCTCAGGGTGTAATGGGTTAAGGCGAACGTCGCCCCACGCAGTGCTAATTACCGCTCAGCTACGAAATACAATGAGGATCATTTATTTTCTTCAGCTGCAGTATTAAGCGACTATTTGCATGAAAATTGCATCGATCGCTCTGTTTGCCCCGTTTTGCAGCCAAAATTCTTTTTTTTTTTTTTTTGTAACTTCAGTACTCCACTTCTGTCCTGATCAAGCGCCATCTCGCTAGACAACCAGCCATTCCCCGCCGCTCTCCGTATTTATAGCATTGCTTTCATTATATTCCGCGGAAAAGTCGATAACAATTAACCACTTCAGCGCCCGAACGATTTAGGCTCCATCTATACACGGGACGCTTCTGAACGACGGAATCTGACTGCTGGAAAACGTAGGTTAAAAAAACGTCTGTTTAGCCGCGTTTGCATACCGCTTTTATGAGCGTTTGCGTTTAGAAGTGTTTTTTTTTTTTAAAGATAACCTCACGAGACCTTCCAAAATGCCCAGAATACCACCCCCAAAAAAAAAACAGTAAAAAATTATAAATTTTATAAATTATAAATTTATAAAAAAAAGATTAAATTCGATAACAATTA